CTAAGCCCTAAACCCTACTTACTGCTTCATTGCTGAAGGACTCGATGATGTTGGCGCAACAACTGAGAGCGAAGGGCCATCGCTCGATTAGCAAACGACTTGCAGTAGTATTGATAGGACGAGTTCGACAAAACAAATTAGGAATGCTGTTCCGCAGTCCTTCGGGACATCCGTTCAAATTGGAACGATACAGAGAAGATTAGCATGGCCCCTGCGTAAGGATGACACGCATAAATCGAGAAATGGTCCAAATTTAAAAAAAAAAAAAAAAAAAAAAAAAAGGAATGCTGTTCCGCACGTCAGCGGTTAACTTTACACATCGAAACTTTGGGCATCGCTCCAGTACTCACAGAATGTGCAAAATGAGAATGGATGGAAACATGCGGCGAGTAGTGGAGCGAGTCCCTACACGAACACCCAAAGTGGTGGAGATTATCATCATTAGTAACCATTTTCCTTGCCAAAGTGATGACTAATCAGCCGCCGAGCATAACGCACCCTCAAAATGAATGTATACAAGTATTTCCGGCCAGATACAGCCAAAATGAGGGTGCGTTGTGTTCGGGGGAGGACTGACTACGCCTATGAAAAGAGTAGATGGGAAGAAAGACACGACGAGAAGATGGCGGCTGAACGATTGCGACGAACATGCGTAAAAACGAGGATCAAAGCTGCAACTACCGATTTCAGCCGAATAGAAAGGCCCGGTCAGCACATGCTGTATTTGGACAACTTTCAGTCCACATGCAGGGATACCGATCGGGTGTTGTTCTTATTCAAAAGACACAGAAGCCCTGCACTCGTATATCTATAACATACAGCGATAACGAGCGGGCGTTGTTCCATTCTAGAGTAACAATAGTCTTTCCCCCAATAGAACGCTCAGTCTGGGCTAACGTACAGCTATAACGACCGGGCGTTGTTCTGTTCGAGGGAAACAGTAGTCCTTGACACGGATACGGATACAAAAAGAAAAGAAGAACAGCTGCAAAAAAAAAGTCTTCCCTCGAATAGAACGCACGGTCAATCTTTCGCTATTTACACAGACAGAAAGTTGCCCCAAATACAGCTGTACTGAGCGTCCTTTCCATTCAGGTGATGACGATAAGAGGTTTCCTCCTGAGTTGTATGCAGACTACCGTCTTCCCCCGAACATAACGCACCCTGAAAATGAACGTATACAAGATATGTTTCCGGCCCGATACAGGCAAAATGAGGGTGCGTTGTATTCGAGGGAAGACTGTAGGCCTCGCTCCGCTTCTCGCCACATTCACGAAAGACAAAAAAACATGGCAGTGTATCTTTCCATGTTCTAGCGGAAAATTCATCCTCGTTTTTGCACACTCCCGATTCAAAGTGCAAATGCAATTATTCGTCCTCTTTGTAAATCGTGATATGGAACTATAGGCGTCAGAATTCCTAAAAAGGAATAAAGATAACGGCGTCGGAATGGGATTAGACAAAACCCGTGGGATGGATCGCTGCGAAGAGATTTTCCATATGTTTAGGGCCTCGCTCTACCGCTCACAACTTGCACAAAAGACAAATATTGACGATGAATCTTTCCATGTTCCAGAGGAAGATTCATTCTCATTTTGCTCATTTGGTGAATGGTAAAGCGATGCCGTTAAACCTGTTGAGGTGACAAACTGTGCACTGAGTCTGCAGGAAACGGTCATTTCTTAATTGCACGCGAAATATCGGTGTGTATCTTTCCTTGTTCTAGCGGAAGATTCATTCTCATACTGCACGAGAAATATGGCGCCTTCGCTGCGGCCAGAAAATGCAGGAGAGCTCTTCCTAAGCTACCGTCTTCCCCCGAATAGAACGTACGATAACTTGAACACTAATCAACTCTAGATACAGCGATAACTTCCGTGCGTTCTATTCGGGGCAAGACGATAGCACAACAAGTAGCCCTTCAGCTTCCCCTTTCGTTTCACTCCTCTCGTAGTGATTCTTCTTCCTGCCTCCCTGTTCTTGCCCTTCCAATTCTTCTCAAATTTGTAATCCTAGTCTTCTTTCTCTCCTTCGCTCACCAAACCTTCTCCGTCCTCTTCCCCGCGCTAGGAGAAAGAAGACACGTTTCATCCTCTTCTCTCTCATTGGCTTACCAGACCTACCTTCTTCCCCCGAATACAACGTACGGTCATTATAGCTGTATTTAGACTGAAAGATGCCCCAAATTCAGCTATAATGACCGTACGTTGTGTTCGGGGGAAGACTGTAGTCTTCTGTCTCCTTCGCTCACCATACCTCCTCGTCTTCTTTCTCTCCCTCGCTTACGATAACTCCTCCATCTTCGTCCCCGCGCTCAACTGGATTGACACACGGAGAGAAACAAGGAGCCTACCATACTCATCGAAGGAGAGAAAGAAGACGAGAAACAAGACGAATGTCATCCTTTAATCCTCATCTTTAAACCTCCTCGTCTTCTTTCTCTCCTTGGCTCACCATACCTCCTCATCTTCTTTCTCTCGTTCGCTCACCATACTTCCTCCGTCTTCTTCCCCGTGCTCTAGTAGATTAGTACGCAAAAAGAAAGAAGAAGTGTCATCCTCATTGAATGAGAGAAAGACGAATAAGGAGAGAAAGAATACGTCTAATCTTCGTCTTCTTTATCTCCTTCGCTCATCATACCTCCTGTTTTTGCTCCTTCGCTCACCATACCTCGTCATCTCTCTCCTTCGCTCACCCTACCTCCTCGGTCATCTTCCCCGCGCTCCACTGGATTAGCACACGGAGCGAAAAAAGACGTCTGCCATCCTCATCGAAGGAGAGAAAGAAGACGTCGAATCCTCGTCTTCTTTCTCTCCTTCGCCCACCATACCTCCTGGTGTTCTTTCTCTCCTTGGCTCACGATACCTCCTTGTGTTCTTTCTCTCCTTCCTTCGCTCACCATACCTCGTCTTCTTCCTTTCCTTCGCTCACCATACCTTTATTCAGGGCAAGATGCTAGACCAACGCCGTCGTCCTGCCCTTCTTCCCCGCATCTTCCCTTCATTCTTCCGCCATAGTCCCTGCTCTCTCCCACTTAAGTCTTTTCCTCTTCGTACTTTCGCTTTCGTCTCGTTCCTCCCTCTTCCTGCCTTCCCACTTCTCTGATTTCTAATCACCTTCTCTCTTCTTTGCTCACCACCATTATGACCCTCGCGATTCTACACCATGGAATATACGACCACTGAGGTCTACGAGCGTGTTCTTCAATGAGATGAAACTAGAGAGCTCTGGAGAACCTACTGTAGCGAACTTCTTCGAACTGTATTCATCACAATCCATCATCATCATCACCACCATAATCAATCATCATCCCCATCGCATCGCCATCATCATCATCATCATTAATCATCATAAACACCTTAATCATATCCATCATCATACTCATCGTCGTCGTCGTCCTAATCGTGTATTAGTTTCTTTCAGTACTAGTCCCAAATGACGAGTACACATTTGAACGACTCTTGCAGCTCGCTAGAAGAACACAGCGCACTCAAGCGGGAAACGAGCGCACTCAAGCGGGAAACGAGCGCACTCAAGCGGGAAACGAGCGCACTCCAGCGGGAAACGAGCGCACTCCAGCGGGAAACGNCACTCCAGCGGGAAACGAGCGCACTCCAGCGGGAAACGAGCGCACTCCAGCGGGAAACGAGCGCACTCAAGCGGGAAACGAGCGCACTCAAGCGGAGAGCGAACGGGGTCCAGAGGCAGGAGGCTCCGCCATCGTATAACCTATAATACCTCTGTTTTTTTTTTAAGTATGCAAATCCTTGCAAAGGAGATAGGTTCGTAGAGACGAGGGAGCCATCTAAACGACGAGCACGCATGTGAACAACTACTGAGGCTCCGTCGAAGAGAACGGAGAACGAGCGCGTTCAAGCGGAAACCGAGAAGGGCAGAGAGGCAGGAGGCCCTGCCAGAAAGGAGGAAGACTTCGGAGAGACGACGGAGGCCCGCCTTCGCAGACAGACGAGGACGATGAGGGTGCGGAAAAGGTCGCTGGGAGAACCCGCGATAGGCGATCAATCATACAAGGCGTGGAAACGGAGAAGGAAAGAGAAGCCAGAGAAGGAAAGAGAGGCCCTGCCACAATGGAGGAAGACTTCAGAAAGACGTGCGAGACCCGTCTTTGCAGATAGACGAGGACGATGAGGGGGCTGAAAAGGTAGCTGGGAGAACCCGCGAGAGGCGATCAATCATACAAGGCGTGGAAACGGAGAAGGAAAGAGAAGACGGAGAAGGAAAGAGAGGCCCTGCAACAAGGGAGGAAGACTTCGGAGAGACGACGGAGCCCCGCCTTTGCAGACAGACGAGGACGATGAGGGGGAGGAAAAGGTAGCTCGGAGAAACCGCAAAACCCGTTCAATCATACAAGGCGTCGAAACGGAGAAAGAAAGAGAAGACGGAGAGGGAAAGAGAGGAAAAACGGAGAGGGAGAGAAACGTCATGCAGAAAGGAAAGATTCGAACTGAAGAAGCGATCACGGGGACTCCCGGGGCAAGGTTCCACTTGCGCAAATTAGGACATTTGGGCCGTTGATCTTTGCTATCTACGGTCAGTATCTCTTGATTCGTTCGTGCAAGTGGGACCTAGCCCCCAGTGAGGAGGATCGCGAGCCGGCGAGACGTAAGAAGCGGCGGGAAACGGACATGAGAAGCAGAGAGCAGAAAAACAGGCTGAGGGAAGAGAGGGAAGAACATAGAGTGATGGAAGAGACGAAGCATGAGAGCAGAACACTACGGTGGGAAATGAAAGAGAAGTGTAGGGACGCCGGATACACTTAGATACGTAAAAATAAGAATCGGAAGTGAACACAGACAGCTGGTTACGAGGGGAAAGGAAGACAACGCATAGATAGAAGATGGCACCGTCTTCAGCTGAATCGACGGCCATTATCGCTGTATCTGGACTGAAAGTTGCCCTAAATACAGCTATAATGACCGTATGTTGTATTCGGAAGCAGACGGGTAGAGGACAGCAGAAGTGGACGATGTCGAACGCACCACTTCGCTGCTGGTTAACTTCCAAAGTCGGTGATGTCCTCCCTTGCCCGCTTTCTTCTTCTCCCTCCTCTATTTCTCGTCGAGCACTTTCCGTCCTTGTCTTCATCACGCCATTCGTCCACAACTATTCTTCTAATCCGTCGCCTCTTTTTCCTGTGCACCTCCTCCTCCTCACTTCATCACTCTTGAAGAGCTTCTGTTCCTCCTCCGCTTCCCCTGTCCGTTTCTTATACAGGTCAATACAAATATCGAGTGTGCACCATCGTACCTCTACTTGACGCAACCGGTGTTTGAATAGCCCCACGCTGCCGCCTTCCGTGCCAAGTCATTCTAATTGAGGGAAGTGCTGATTCGAACAAGGTCTTCCCTCTCTCTCTCTCTCTCTCTCTCTCTCTCTCTCTCTCTCTCTCTCTCTCTCTCTCTCTCTCTCTTCTCAAACGCTCTCATCCCTCCTCCCGCCCTGTCTAATGTGATGCAGCGACAGACACATCCCTGCCGCCGGTTGCAAAGTCCTCTCCGGCGTGCCTTTTCAATGGACCAAGCCGATAGGGAAGCGCTGATTTGAATACGCTCTTCCCTCCGTCTCTTCCCAAACACTCTCTTCCCTAGTTCCGCCCCCTGGCCAATACTACTATGATGCAGCGACAGACAGCTCCCTGCCACAGGTTGCGAAGTCCTCTCCGGCGTGCCTTTCCTAAAGGACCAAGCCGGAAGGCTCCCTCTCCAGGCCCTGTCCCTTCGTCCCTCTACCTTTGTCTTTTCTTCGGCAACCTAGCAATCAATCAGTGAGCCTTCTCCTCCTAAGTTTATTGGTATCCATCAAACACGATGTCTGATGTGTCTCACGAAGCAATGATGCACCCCTACACAACGTTACCTGACCTCAGACCAGAGCGGCGGTACTCTGGAGCGTCCAAATCATGGAGGGAGGTGGAGAGAGAGAGAGAGAGAGAGAGAGAGAGAGAGGAGGAGGAGGGACGGAAAACAGGGAAAAAGAGAGCGGGAGAGAAGAAGACGGCAGGGAGGAAGGTGATACAGAAAAAGAAAGGCGGGCGGAAAGAGAAGAGGGCGGAACAGGTGGGGTCGCAGTAGGAGCAGGAGGGCAAGGAGAATGCGGAGGCGCAGGAGACGAGTCGGCGGAGCGACAGGAGACGAGGCGGCGGAGTCCGGGCTGCGCAGACGACACCCGCTTCCGACGTTGTGGTTCATCGGCGCAGACTTCCACTTCCGCTACCGCTTTAGTGTACCGCCGCCTTTCTTTCGAATTCGAACATTCGAAACTGTCTCTTATACACATCTAGATGTGTATAAGAGACAGGTCGTGCGCATCTCTGAAAATCGATTGGCCCGAATCTGGCGGTAAAGAAGTGCGGAGCCACCTTCGAATTCGAACATTCGAAAAAGCCACGGAATCATGTTCTTGGTTTTGGCGGCAGTGGTGCGCATCTCTGAAAATCGATTGGCCCGAATCTGGCGGTAAAGAAGTGCGGAGCCACCTTGTGCTCTGGAGCGCCGAAATTAGCCTGAAAATAACGCACCTGGACGTCATCTTGGCTGTGTGCACATGCAGACTGCCAGTCGCCCAGGGCTCAAATCTGGCGGCAAGGATGGGAGGAGCCAGCTTGTTTTCTGGAGCACCGCCGAAATTAGCCTGAGGGCATCGCTCCACTACACTCCACGCGCACAGAAGTCAATGAATACGGCAATGTATCTTTTCATGTTCTACGGGAGGATTCGATCTCATTTCCACATTTGGAGCGTAGTGGAGCGAGGCCCTGAATCTCGTGGATCGTGGCGGTGTGCACATCGAAACTGCCGTCGCCAGGAAAAAAAAGACAAAAAAAGAAAAAAAAAGAAAACGTCGCCCAGGCCCGCCAGCACGCCAGCAAGCCTCGCTCCACTACTCAACATTCTACACTACATGCACATGCATTTGGACGCTTTTTTCTCATCAAATCAGGTGCATCAGGTGCGTTTAGACCATCCAACATTTTGAAGTTATCGGGAGCATATAAAGTCCAGATACACAGAGAGTGTTGTGTAATGGCGCGAGGCCTGAAGTACTGGCGTACTTCCGTGTCCGAAATCTAGAGACAACGTGCTCTGGGCGGGATCACCAGACTGAAAACTCGAACGTGCGTTTGCATCAGTGGGCCAAAGGAGACTTCGCCGTCTGTCTCCGCCGCGCCCGCCTCTAAGGGCCTAATTCAGGACCTCGCCGCGCCACTCACGAAATCAAAAACTGTGCGAGCGCATCTTGCAGTGGAAGCTGACCAGAAACATCCGTTTCTATGAATAGTAACGGCTGAACTGGGGCACTTTATGCCGGAAGATGCACTCGAATTGTTTTTCGTTTCGTGAGTATTGTGGCGAGGCCCTGAATCAGGGGCCAATAACTTCGCATCAAGGAAAGGACCTTTATATATTCCCAAGAAAGATCGCTGCCGACCCAAATCGTGCAAAAAAAAAAAAAAAATCGTGCATTGCGAAATTGAACCGTTGTTTCATGCATCCAAACGTCATGTTTGCGCCATACATTTCTCACGTCTTCCAACTGACCGGTCACTCTGCGATTCGAACTCAGATCTTTTCCGTTTTCTTTTTTCTTTTCCTTTTTTTTCTTGACTGTTTTCTTGGGGCTCGGCCTTTCCGCAGTTTGTATCCATAGAAGCAGTTACCGTCAACATTTTCGGCCTGGTGGCCAGAAGTGAGGGAAATGGGCGAGGTTGGGCGGTAAGAGATGGCAGAGTGGAGTGGAGCAGCGCAGTGCAGACGGCCAGAGCCAGACCTTTCCGACAGTGTAGCAGAAACGACGTAGGGTTGATGGGGTGCGTGGACGCTTGGTGGGACGACGTCTTGCAGGACCCTGGTGGGTTCCTGGCTATGGCTCTCCTCGGTCAGATGAGGCTGGTATCGGTTCTCGATCTACTAGCGCTGAGTATCATACATGGGGGAGACAGAAAGGCGGGGTCCTGTCGGCTCCTGTTTGCTCCCCACTCGTGCCTCATCCACCTCCTACCTGCCCACCTCTCCGATTCTCATTCCACGCCTACCCTCACCTACCATAGGTACCAATCCTTCCCACCCTCGCCTCTCCCTCTCTTCTCACCCCCGTACCTTCGCTTTCAGCCCCCTGTTCACTTCCCACTCTCTCCTCATCCACCTCATACCTGCCCACCACTCTGATTCTCTTTCTCCAACTTCTTTCCCCATACTTCATCTCCCTAGCTGCCATTTCGCACCCCAAAGTCTGCTGTTCTTATCACGAGCATAATCCGCCCCTCAAAGTCTCCGCCCCTCGTCTCCCACTCTTTTCAGCTATCCTCTTCCGCCCCTCAAACTCTCACCTTTGATCTCACTCACTCCCAACCCCGGGTACCACCCCATCTTGACCTTGACCTACCTAGGAACCATCTTATTGCTCCTCCTGGTAGGCAACATCATCTCTTTCCTCGTCTATTGTTTCCTACGTGCCCAACTGCTCTGCCGTCCCACATTGTATCGACCTGTCCATAGATACCCCAGTGCTATCAACGGTACATTAACAAAATCCCATTAATTCTTTAATCCAATCAATTGTTATTATTAATTCAATAATTCCCTATTGTTAATTGAGTTAAGCCACCAATACACCTGAGGCTAAATGTACGAGCCTAAGGGCCTCGTTAAACACTCCTTACGAATTCCTTGAGCCACAAGGAATTTTCCTTGTGGCTCGTAAGGGAATTTGGGCTCTTCGTTCCACCTGTCCTTGGGGACGTCGCCCGAGGACATTTCCTAAGACTGATGTGAGGAAAAAAAAAAAGAAAAGAAAAGAAAAAAAAACAGTTGTGCTTCAGGCCTTCAGCCAATAGGGTGCCGCCACGATCCAGATTCTCAGCTGTAACGTCTATCTACCCGTGTGCCCTCTCCTCTCCGTGAAACGCGGATTCCTTGTGCCCAAGGGACCTCGTGAGGTCCCTTGGGCACAAGGAAGAAATGGYTGGGGCCACAAGGATGCCACAAGGAATTTTCCTTGTGGCGTTTTCACATTTCTTTTTCAATTTCGTCCCCAAGGACAGGTGGAACGAGCACGTCCTTGTGGATTTCACGTCCCCAAGGAGTGTCTAACGATGCCCTAAATCTGAATTTTGTCGAGCCTAAAAGAGATCGGTACCGCTGCTTAGAAAGTAAACGGTGGCATCAGTACCCGCCACTATAGTTTGACATTGGAAGGCTATCGATTTCACTTGTGTGCCACCGCAGCCAAACCCTCCACAAAGCCAGGCCCTGTATCTGGCCGAATTTGAGCACCAGATATAGGTGGTTTCAAAGAGATACAGCAACTATGAAAAAAAAATTAAAAAAAAATAAAGAACTCTGGCGTTTTCTGTTAAGGTTGGCGGCAATTGCAGTAGGATACATCTCAGTCAGGTCATGGTCCCTCAAAGGAATGCGTTCGTATCTACCCCAAAACGATAAGAGATTCATGAAGAAAAAAAAAAACAGCACAACAATGGTCATACTTTCAAAAAGGTTGGCATCCCCGTGAAAACGGGTGCCTTTCTCTTCTGGGCACGTATCTCCACTTATTTTGTTGGCACTCCGTGATGACAGGCGCCAGTAACTGGTTGGGGGTTGCTTGCCCCCAAAGGCATGCCCCTGGATGCATAAAGACTGCTTTAGACGGTAGATACGTGCACTGAGAGTAACGGGCTACCAGAAACAGTTGAAAAATACCCTGGCTTGCTGGCAGGGCACCTAAACCATAAATATTCTTTGAGGTCCCTCGAATATGGCCCAGGAATGTGGCCAAATCCAAAAAAAGAAGACCCAAAAAACTTAGAATATGGAAAGATCCATTGCCACTTTTTTTGTCTTTTGTGCTATCAGGCCCAGTGCTTCTCATTTTTCTTTTTCCTTTCTTTTTTTTTCACTCTTTTTTTTTTGTTATCCCCGCGCTAGTTGGTTCTGTACGTGAATGTGGAAATACACGGGCAGACAGAACAAGCAGGAAAGCTTTGGTCCAGTTGCCCGTTTTCGATGGGTCCACAAGCCTACTTGCCCGTCACTTCACTTGGCCGGCCCCGAGCCTCGAATTTCTCTTGTGGCGAC